GATCATGATGAACCTACGAACTATGAAGAAGCGATGGTGAGCCCAGATTCCGCAAAGTGGCTTGAAGCCATGAAATCTGAGATGGGATCCATGTATGAGAACAAAGTGTGGACTTTGGTTGACTTGCCTGATGACCGGCAAGCAATTGAGAATAAATGGATTTTCAAGAAGAAGTCTGACGCTGACGGTCATGTTACTGTCTACAAAGCTCGACTTGTCGCAAAAGGTTTTCGGCAAGTTCAAGGGATTGACTACGATGAGACCTTCTCACCCGTAGCGATGCTTAAGTCTGTCCGAATCATGTTAGCAATTGCCGCATTTTATGATTATGAAATTTGGCAGATGGATGTCAAAACTGCATTCCTGAATGGATTTCTGGAAGAAGAGTTGTATATGATGCAATCGGAAGGTTTTGTCGATCCAAAGGGAGCTAACAAAGTGTGCAAGCTCCAGCGATCCATTTATGGACTGGTGCAAGCCTCTCAGAGTTGGAATGAACGTTTTGATAGTGTGATCAAAGCATTTGGTTTTATACAGACTTTCGGAGAAGCCTGTATTTACAAGAAAGTGAGTGGGAGCTCTGTAGCATTTCTGATATTATATGTGGATGACATATTGTTAATTGGAAATAATATAGAATTTCTGGATAGCATAAAGGGATACTTGAATAAGAGTTTTTCAATGAAAGACCTCGGTGAAGCTGCTTACATATTAGGCATAAAGATCTATAGAGATAAATCAAGACGCTTAATTGGACTTTCACAAACAACATACCTTGACAAAATTTTGAAGAAGTTCAAAATGGATCAAGCAAAGAAAGGATTCTTGCCTGTGTTACAAGGTGTCAAATTGAGTAAGACTCAATGCCCGACCACTGCAGAAGATAGAGAGAATATGAAAGATGTTCCCTATGCATCAGCAATAGGATCTATCATGTATGCAATGCTGTGTACCAGACCTGATGTGTGCCTTGCTATAAGTCTAGCAGGGAGGTACCAAAGTAATCCAGGAGTGGATCACTGGACAGCGGTCAAGAACATCCTGAAATACCTGAAAAGGACTAAGGATATGCTTCTCGTATATGGAGGTGACAAAGAGCTCGTCGTAAAAGGTTACATTGATGCAAGCTTTGACACTGATCCGGACGATTCTAAATCGCAAACTGGATACATGTTTACATTAAACGGTGGAGCTGTCAGTTGGTGCAGTTCTAAACAAAGCGTCGTAGCGGGATCTACATGTGAAGCGGAGTACATAGCTGCTTCGGAAGCAGCAAATGAAGGAGTCTAGATGAAGGAGTTCATATCCGATCTAGGTGTCATACCTAGTGCATCGGGTCCAATGAAAATCTTTTGTGACAATACTGGTGCAATTGCCTTGGCAAAGGAATCTAGATTTCACAAGAGAACCAAGCACATCAAGAGACGCTTCAATTCCATCCGGGATCTAGTCTAGGTGGGAGACATAGAGATTTGCAAGATACATACGGATCTGAATGTTGCAGACCCATTGACTAAGCCTCTTCCACGAGCAAAACATGATCAGCACCAAGGCTCCATGGGTGTTAGAATCATTACAGTGCAATCTAGATTATTGACTCTAGTGCAAGTGGGAGACTGAAGGAAATATGCCCTAGAGGCAATAATAAAGTTATTATTTATTTCCTTATAATCATGATAAATGTTTATTATTCATGCTAGAATTGTATTAACCAGAAACATAATACATGTGTGAATACATAGACAAACAAAGTGTCACTAGTATGCCTCTACTTGACTAGCTCGTTAATCAAAGATGGTTCTGTTTCCTAACCATGAACAATGAGTTGTTATTTGATTAACGAGGTCACATCATTAGTTGAATGATCTGATTGACATGACCCATTCCATTAGCTTAGCACCCGATCGTTTAGTATGTTGCTATTGCTTTCTTCATAACTTATACATGTTCCTATAACTATGAGATTATGCAACTCCCGTTTGCCGGAGGAACACTTTGGGTGCTACCAAACGTCACAACGTAACTGGGTGATTATAAAGGAGCATTACAGGTGTCTCCAAAGGTAGATGCTGGGTTGGCGTATTTCGAGATTAGGTTTTGTCACTCCGATTGTCGGAGAGGTATCTCTGGGCCCTCTCGGTAATGCACATCACATAAGCCTTGCAAGCATTGCAACTAATGAGTTAGTTGTGGGATGATGTATTACAGAACGAGTAAAGAGACTTGCTGGTAACGAGATTGAACTAGGTATTGGATACCGACGATCGAATCTCGGGCAAGTAACATACCGATGATAAAGGGAACAACGTATGTTGTTATGCGGTCTGACCGATAAAGATCTTTGTAGAATATGTAGGAGCCAATATGGGCATCCAGGTCCCGCTATTGGTTATTGACCGGAGACATGTCTCGGTCATGTCTACATTATTCTCGAACCCGTAGGGTCCGCACGCTTAAGGTTACGATGACAGTTATATTATGAGTTTATGCATTTTGATGTACCGAAGGTTGTACGGAGTCCCGGATGTGATCATGGACATGACAAGGAGTCTCGAAATGGTCGAGACGTAAAGATTGATATATTGGAAGCCTATGTTTGGATATCGGAAGTGTTCCGGGTGAAATCGGGATTTTACCGGAGTACCGGGAAGGTTACCGGAACCCCCCGGGAGCTAAATGGGCCATGATGGGCCTTAGTGGAAAAGAGAAGAGGCAGCCCTACATGGGCTGCGCGCCTCCCCCTTCCCCTAGTCCTATTAGGACTAGGAGAGGTGGCCGGCCCCCTCTCTCTCTTTTCCCCCTCTGCGAATCCTATTCCAACTAGGATTGGGGGCGAATCCTACTCCCAGAGGGAGTAGGACTCTCCTGGCGCACCCCTTGTGGCCGGCCAGCCTCCCCCCCTTTGGTCCTTTATATACTGAGGTAGAGGCACCCTAGAACACACAAGTTGATCCACGTGATCTATTCCTTAGCCGTGTGCGGTGCCCCCAGACACCATAGTCCTCGATAATACTGTAGCGGAGTTTAGGCGAAGCCCTGCTGCTGTAGTACATCAAGATCGTCACCACGCCATCGTGCTGACGGAACTCTTCCCCGACACTTTGCTGGATCGGAGTCCGGGGATCGTCATCGAGCTGAACGTGTGCTCGAACTCGGAGGTGCCGTAGTTTCGGTGCTTGCTCAGTTGGATCGTGAAGACGTACGACTACTTCCTCTACGTTGCGTCAACGCTTCCGCAGTCGGTCTGCGTGGGTACGTAGACAACACTCTCCCATCTCGTTGCTATGCATCACATGATCTTGCGTGTGCGTAGGAATTTTTTTGAAATTACTACGAAACCCAACAGTTCGCAGGCGCCGCCGGCATCGAGCAAGAGCAGTGCATGCTAGGTAGCCGCCGCTCGCGTCCCAGGAAGGCCGCCGCTCTTCCCCTCCACCTGAATCCAAGATGGCGGGTTGATAATCGGTGGCCGATTAATCGTTCAAGCTGCGGTGGTGGAGGTTGCAGAGGCAGAGCTAGAGAGCGCAGAGGCGGAACTAGAGAAGGCGAAGGCAAGTGCTGGAGCTTTAGTTCTTGGGGCTCATGACCGAACACGGGGAACGGGCACCACTGATCATTTAGATTAGGTTTAGAATAGAAGTATGTCCAAAATTATACCTCAGAGTCGGACGAGCTCCGCTTTTAGTTAAAATATGTCTGAATGTAATGAATTTCATCATGTTTGCATGAAATCTGCTGTGTTTGCTTGAATCTCTTCCGGTTTATATCAAAATTCACTTGGTTTGCATGAATTCCATTTAGTTCAAAATGTGGTTGAACTTTATGCGGGTGGCGTTGGATGACGGCCTCCGGCATCAGTGCCTGCGGACTGATCCTCTTGTTCTCGGACAGATGTAGGAGCAAATTTGTGGGCTAGCATTGGAGATGGGACAACATTGTAGTACATGCGAGCGGGCGGAGGCACAGGAGGTGGATGTGGCAGACGTGGTGGTCGGGCTACAGGAACCGGACGAATGAAACGTACACACATGGACATGAAATTCCGGACCCGAAAGTGCTTGGCAATGGTGGATGGCGTGAAGGCTTTGCCTGAGGTGGAAGACTTAACATTGTTGTTGGGCGGCTGGTTAGCAACGCTAACCCCCGTGGTGGTCTGGATTCAAATGGGGAAGAATAAGATGAGGAATAGGAGAACACACTAAAGAAACCGACCTGATAACGGAAGAGGAGAACACACTAGTTCAAGCACCTGCCTGTCTGTAGTAACCATCCAGGTCACCTCTAGACAGTAGTAAAAACACCCTTCACAATGGTCTGTCTTTTATGGTAATTGTAGCACCTTAAATTATGAATTTAACTGAAATTACTCCAATTTTATCCATCTCCAGTCGGCCGGGCACAAACGCAGTGCACAGTCAGTGGATGAACGATACATACGTGAAGCAGATGGATCATGATCTGGTCGATTCCTCGGGAAAATAACGCACAACATGCAAAGCTTGCTTGATGCCACACCATGCAGCCCCACTCTAGCACCTGCTGCTCGATCGGCATGCGTGCATCAAGCAGTGCGGTTCTCGCGGAGGAGATGGTGACAGAGAAAAGCAAAAAAAAATCGCGGGATTGGATTTTTGGAGCACGAGATATGATGGTTTGACAGAGGAAATACCAAATTACCGACACCCTAGCATACAATGGGAGAAAGGCTGTCGATACTAGCGATTTTTTTGGGCTATCGGCTGCCTACTCTCTCCTCCTTCTCTCTCCTTCACCTAGATTAGTTCCTTATGTGGTATAGCTTATAGACGGCTAACAAAGCACTATTGTACATGCCCTAAAAGAAACTGACCCGACGTTATTTGGGAAGTGATCTGCGCCGGTCAACCGGCCCAATGCTTCCACCGGTCGCTGGAACATCGTCCGATTGGACAATGCTTAGCCGTCAGATCCCCTCCCCCGAGTCAACTCTCTTCTTTCTCATATCGTTCTCACACCCTAACCACCAAATCCACGCCGGCACCAGTAGCCCTCGCCGGAACCACCAGCGTGCACGTCTCTGGGTCGCGCCCACGCACCTTCTGCCATGTGCGCGCCCTGCTGCCCCCATTCGCAGCTCCAGTTCATGTCCCACTAGAATGCAACTTCTTTCCTTGATGGTTGAAGCTTTTCCCACTAAGGTTGAAGCTTTTTCCTTGAGGTTGTAGCATCCGCGCGCCGGTTTCACCGTGAATCACGTCGGCTCCAGCATCCGCGTCCCAGGTCGCTGCTCCCCGTCGATGCAGCACGCGATCACCGCGGTGGTAGCAAAAAAGCGTATCGGTTGTAGCAATCCTGGTAGCCGTGGTTACCCCATGTTGTCGCTCGTCACACCATCGCACTCCGGTTGCACCACCACACGCCAATTGCAGCAAAAATTGATCACTGGTGGTAGCTTTCCCACAGCCGTTTGCAACAAATTTGCAGCCCATCGTCACCGGCGACACTTCATCGCCTCCTGGTTGTAGCGAAAGCAGGTGCCGGTGGTAGCTTTTCGGTTATCTGTTGCAGCAAAAAATGTGTGTCGTCATCGCCGGCAATGCTCGTCGTCACCTGGTTGTAGCAAACCCGAGCGCCGGTTGTAGCTTTCCCTGTGCCAATGGAAGCTAATCACAAAGCCAGTTGCAGCTTCAGCACCAGTGGCAATCACCTTTAGTTCTTGCCGATTGTAGAAACGTATGACCTCGCCAAGGAGATGCACGGCCATGGCTTCCCTAGGTTGTAAGCAACCGATGGCCTCCCTTTGCAAACACCTTTCTCTCATCTGGAAAACAAAACATAGGAAAAGGGCTCGCAGAAGCTCGCTGGCGGCGTAGGAGAAGGATACAGCTGCAACGGGGGAGGCAGATGGGAGAGCGGCGCGTCTGGAGGAAGGAGAGGGAGGGAGATGGGATCTGAACGAGTGGTCGAGAGAGATCTGAACGGAGGAAGAGATGTGGATGGGACCGGCCTTGTATGACATGGCCACGTCGGGAACCAACAGGGGACGATGGATCTGGATGATAGTGCGACTCGCGCGTGACTGGCCCAAGCTTCGGCCGGTCCGCCGGTCACAAACGTTTCCCATGTTATTTTCTATTACCCAAAGGTTGTTGTCCTGTTGGAGCAAGGGAGAGACCTCTGTGCGAAAGAAAGAAGAACAATAAGGACATCTCGAGCCGCGCCCCCAACAGGCCCCCCAGGCCACTTTTTTTATGTCAGCACCGGAAAAAAAATCCTAGTCGCGCCTCAAGATGCTAAAATCTGCCAGCTCGGCCTATTTTTGGGCCCGACGATTCCAGGCCGAACCCAGCGCACTAGGGGGCGCTTGGGGGCTCCGGTGTAAGGGAAAAACTGCGTCTGGCCCACACTGTCAG